AAAGCCCTAAAGCACCACATACACGTGAATATTTGGGGTGAGTGGTGACCCACGCCGATCTCCGGGATCCTAAGCAGGCTTTTGAGTATCCACATTCCACACTGACCATGAGTGGCCTGAAATGGCCTGGAGGTCCCAAGCCTATCTGTAAGGGATCCCTTGCCGCTATGCCGTGCGTAACTTTTGGTTCCGTTAACCCGCGCCCTGCTGGGGGGTGTTTGAACACCCCCCTTGTGGTTTTTCGCGAATATCTCAAAAACGGCGGCGCGGAGCGCCGCCGTTTTTGGTACACCTTATTATACATCAATTCTACACATGTTGTGAAAATTTCACACCAAGGTCATTCAAGGTCAGGTCACCAGGTCACTTGAAGTGACCTCACCTCATAAAAAGCTTCAATGTCTGTCATAGCTACACCGAGTGACCGATCGCTTTGAAACTTTCAGCGATTGCTAAGAGCAATAGCATGTACAAAATGTATATCTCAGAATTTTGATATCGATGACCTAAGGTCAGGTCAATTTTGCGACCTCCCCATTATAAGTCAATGGGAGAAAATTGAAATGCGCCTCTTTTGGACGAAAGACATTATAAACACTCACAAACACCGAATTACAAGTGGTTTAGACACACAGAACATGAAAATGGTGTCCGTGACCCTTGTTTATGCCCTGAGGTCATCTTAGGTCACGAATGGTATCTAACAGTTTTTCGCAAATAACTTTTGATAGAGGCATGCTAGAGCGATGAAAACGCCTTAGATGTGTTCAACTCGACGATACGGATCGACTGATATGCAACATGACCCTTTCCGGTCAGGTCATGACCTTGACCTGAGGTCAAATTTTCAAGTTGACCTTCCAAGGTCAAGTTATAATTCATTCGATGCGTCTTGACGAGAGGAATACGATGCCGGTAAAAGTAAGCTCGTACAAGGTTTGGGTCAAAAGTTATTGCAGAAAAACTGTTTCCGAAAAAATCGGCTATTTTTGCAGTTTTTGCCCCCTGCAGGCAAAACCGTTGACGTTAGGTCAAATCTGAGAGGATTACTCAGAAAGGGCGTTAATAGGGCTATCGAATGCGCTTTTCCGCGGCGCTGTAGCTCTATTGGTTCCCGAGTTATGCGTTGGCTTCTTGGAAATTTTCGACATTCGACCTGGAAATCGGCGAAATTTTGCCTTCAATGACCTCTGGTGACCTGACCTTTGACCTGACCAAAAATTGACCGTAGTGATTTCGTCATTATTTTTGACGCTCTTTCGAACGCCGCCTTCCGCGTATCGCTACGTGGCCCAGGAGCCGAGTTACAAGGGGGGGTGTTCAAACACCCCCCCCCCCCCCCAGCAGGGCGTGGAAATCCAGGACCCCCAGCCGGGCGCGGGTTAAACATTTTTTGTTCCCGTTTGCAGCGCTTCCCTTCACGCAAATAACGAGAAACTTTTTTGTTCACACTCGAGTGAACAAAACACTTCCTCTCACTGGAGCAAAAATGAATTATTTCCGATTAACACTTCCGACATTCACTCTCAGTCTCCGCCGAATGCCCAATTCTTAGCTACAATCGGCGGCAGTGATAAGCCCTATGCAGTTCACGTAAAACCTCTGCATGCATGTGTGAATGGAGGTTTTAGCAGGGTGATGCGATTAAATGGAGCGTTTTTCACCTTTTTTCTGGGTAATGATCATGAGCGACGAGTCTGCACAGGGGCCCTGTGCATTGCGTCGGCAATCGCAGCCACTGTAATTCTACCGGTCGTTTTTGTCGAGAAATTTCAAAATTTCGATTTTTTCTGTAAAAAATGATTTGTCATAGCTAGAAGGAAAACCTTTGTCACCATCGGATTCCTCGCACCATTGCGCGTCGAATGATATGTAAAACGAGTGAGTAACGACTCGGGAAAGGCAAGATTTAACATAAAAGTAGATTTTGCCCCCCCCAACCGAAAATCTCTGGCGACGCCTATGCCAGTAACGTCGCCACGGGGGGGGGGGGCAAGCGGGGCAGCTTGCCCCCCCCAACCTCGGACCGGGCAACCCCTGAGATCGATACAGATCCGATGAGATTTTGGAGTCGGGAAAAAATGGGGGTACCTTTCTGAGAATGCCTGTGAGGTCAGACTCGGTTGGAGCGTGCAGTTCAAACCAGAGTCAGAGTCGCAGTCGCCAAAATCTTCAAGACTCCGACTCCAGACTCGGAAATGTCAATGCTGTGATTCATTTCATATTCCTAGTTGGTTCTTTATTACATGTTATAGCTGATTTTAATAAGTTTGGGATTGCTGACGCACAATTTTCGTTCAAAGCGTGACACGAAATCTTCGGGGCCTTTCTCTACTCTTGTCAAATGTCTGCGACAAGCTCAAGCACCGTTCAAGTGCCACAGGGCTCATGAGCTCGCTTATCACACAGGCTTCTAAGGAGCTCCACTGAGCTCTAAGAGGCATTCAGAGGGCCCAAACCGGCCTCTGAGAGTCCCACTGGTGTCCATGTTCTCTGAGGGCCAATGCAGGGATTTTTAAGGACCTTATACATGCGTTGACCTCTGAAGGGCCACATGAATCTTTGAGGATGCCTTCGAAAATTTCTGAGAACCTTAACTAACCTCTGATAGTTCAGCCGAACTTTTGAGGAGATAGACTTTGCTAACCCCAAGCCGGCATCTGAGGGGTCACAACTCACGTGTCCCTCTGAGGGCCGCAACAAATGTTTATTATGTCCCTAAATAGGGTCCTTAGGGATTTGACACAGACCCAGATGGTGCCTACGTTATCCGAGGGCTCCAGGCTCACCCTGGCCCCGTCTCTTAGCGCCCGGCGCCCACAATAGCTTCTGAGGGCCCACCTTGGGCTCGGAAAGCCCTAAAGCACCACATACACGTGAATATTTGGGGTGAGTGGTGACCCACGCCGATCTCCGGGATCCTAAGCAGGCTTTTGAGAATCCACATTCCACACTGACCATGAGTGGCCTGAAATGGCCTGGAGGTCCCAAGCCTATCTGTAAGGGATCCCTTGCCGCTATGCTGTGCGTAACTTTTGGTTCCGTTAACTCGCGCCCTGCTGGGGGGTGTTTGAACACCCCCCTTGTGGTTTTTCGCGAATATCTCAAAAACGGCGCGCGGAGCGCCGCCGTTTTTGGTACACCTTATCATACATCAATTCTACACATGTTGTGAAAATTTCACACCAAGGTCATTCAAGGTCAGGTCACCAGGTCACTTGAAGTGACCTCACCTCATAAAAAGCTTCAATGTCTGTCATAGCTACACCGAGTGACCGATCGCTTTGAAACTTTCAGCGATTGCTAAGAGCAATAGCATGTACAAAATGTTTATCTCAGAATTTTGATATCGATGACCTAAGGTCAGGTCAATTTTGCGACCTCCCAATTATAAGTCAATGGGAGAAAATTGAAATGCGCCTCTTTTGGACGAAAGACATTATAAACACTCACAAACACCGAATTACAAGTGGTTTAGACACACAGAACATGAAAATGGTGTCCGTGACCCTTGTTTATGCCCTGAGGTCATCTTAGGTCACGAATGGTATCTAACAGTTTTTCGCAAATAACTTTTGATAGAGGCATGCTAGAGCGATGAAAACGCCTTAGATGTGTTCAACTCGACGATACGGATCGACTGATATGCAACATGACCCTTTCCGGTCAGGTCATGACCTTGACCTGAGGTCAAATTTTCAAGTTGACCTTCCAAGGTCAAATTATAGTTCATTCGATGCGTCTTGACGAGAGGAACACGATGCCGGTAAAAGTAAGCTCGTACAAGGTTTGGGTCAAAAGTTATTGCAGAAAAACTGTTTCCGAAAAAATCGGCTATTTTTGCAGTTTTTGCCCCCTGCAGGCAAAACCGTTGACGTTAGGTCAAATCTGAGAGGATTACTCAGAAAGGGCGTTAATAGGGCTATCGAATGCGCTTTTCCGCGGCGCTGTAGCTCTATTGGTTCCCGAGTTATGCGTTGGCTTCTTGGAAATTTTCGACATTCGACCTGGAAATCGGCGAAATTTTGCCTTTAATGACCTCTGGTGACCTGACCTTTGACCTGACCAAAAATTGACCGTAGTGATTTCGTCATTATTTTTGACGCTCTTTCGAACGCCGCCTTCCGCGTATCGCTACGTGGCCCAGGAGCCGAGTTACAAGGGGGGGGTGTTCAAACACCCCCCCCCCCCAGCAGGGCGTGGAAATCCAGGACCCCCAGCCGGGCGCGGGTTAAACATTTTTTGTTCCCGTTTGCAGCGCTTCCCTTCACGCAAATAACGAGAAACTTTTTTGTTCACACTCGAGTGAACAAAACACTTCCTCTCACTGGAGCAAAAATGAATTATTTCCGATTAACACTTCCGACATTCACTCTCAGTCTCCGCCGAATGCCCAATTCTTAGCTACAATCGGCGGCAGTGATAAGCCCTATGCAGTTCACGTAAAACCTCTGCATGCATGTGTGAATGGAGGTTTTAGCAGGGTGATGCGATTAAATGGAGCGTTTTTCACCTTTTTTCTGGGTAATGATCATGAGCGACGAGTCTGCACAGGGGCCCTGTGCATTGCGTCGGCAATCGCAGCCACTGTAATTCTACCGGTCGTTTTTGTCGAGAAATTTCAAAATTTCGATTTTTTTTTCTGTAAAAAATGATTTGTCATAGCTAGAAGGAAAACCTTTGTCACCATCGGATTCCTCGCACCATTGCGCGTCGAATGATATGTAAAACGAGTGAGTAACGACTCGGGAAAGGCAAGATTTAACACAAAAGTAGATTTTGCCCCCCCAACCGAAAATCTCTGGCGACGCCTATGAGTGTCACGCATCATCACAGTTTACGATAGACTACTATACCGGTCTGAGCACGGTGACATTGCCTCCCACATACCGCTCTGCTGCCGCGGGCCGTGCGGCGGATGGGGGCGGACGACCTTTCAGAGACTCGGGTCCCCGCAGAGGTCACGTGACTACTGTAACGCAGATGCGCCACATTTTTTTTTTCTTCTTCAATTTGAACAAGTCAGCCGTGCCACAAGCAAAAGTGCAATCATTGACCAGATCGCAGGACGGCCGACCGCGCGCCGGGCGCCGGGCGCCGGCGCACTCAGGCCGGCCCAAAAACAGCAGCTGCACCCGACTCGGACGAAAATAGGCAGAGGCTGGGACCGGGAACGCGGATGCCGATCAGCCATGTCGTCCGATGAATGGAGAGCCGGGCTGTGCACGCAAACAAAGTCATTTGACCCCCTGACCGTCGGCCTCAAAACCATCTGGCGCACCGCACAGACACGGTCAGTCGGCTCAATCGGCGGCGATACCTATTTGCGTCGCAGACCGGCGTACACAAGGGGTGCAGCCGGCTTTGACAACAAAGCTCCGCTGTGGAATACCACCCCCAATTCGTGAGAACCAGGATCTGAAGTCGACAAATAGCATGCCGGAGCACACCACCTGCCAGTGGCGAGTCATTTATCAGTTGACCCTTTGGAAAACAGGACTTGGTCCCACGCTCGGCACCCCGATGGGGACATTTATCAAGCGGACCATTACTGACAGAAGCCAAACAAGAGAAAGGGCGCAGCTGTCGACCTGGACTTCAGCGGGGCACCAAACAAGGGGAGCGGAGAAACGACCCACATTTCCGATACAATTAACCAGGAATCTGGGAAAAGAGAGTGGCTCGCCCCAGGGCTGCTGAGAGGACCGTCAATACTACACCCTGAGGGGATGCACAGCCACCGCCATCAAATCACGAGGAACTGGGGCGGTGCTTCAAGCCGAAGAAGACATCGCATTGGTTCGAGGGCGGTACCTATGTCCCTTCACCAAATTTACTCCGCCCACCAAACTGGACCGCTGAAATGACGTCACCAGGAGTATTTAAACTAGAGCAAGAAAGAAAAAGGGTCTCTCTCGGTGACGATCTACCTGGGCGGTGGGAGTGCCACTTGTAGCAGCCGACGACGCAGCAGCAGCCTACTCTCTTCAAGGAGGTCAGTCATTCTCGGAGCACAGACGGCCATTCCCAGTCCACCCGCTATAATGCCCGCCCCCTTTCGTTCTCCCGTAATGACCTACCCTCCCTCTCTCTTGTAAGCTGACCCATGCCTCCCGACGGGCGTCTCTGGGACGGGGGGGTAGATACGTGGGGAGGGGAGGCGAGGGAACGCGTGCCAGACGGCGGGCCGGCCGACCCAAGTGAAAGGGAAAGTGTTTGTGTGTAGGGTCAGTAGTGAATTCCTGACCGCTCCGCGGATACGTCCCCGGGCCGATTCAAGGTGTAGGTTCGCGGGCTCCGAGCGGTTCGATCGTGTGGGGGTTTAGACGAGCTGAACCCCCCCCCGACGTTGAGTATCCAATGTCTGCCGTGAATGAGTTATCAGTGCCGACTGATTTAATTGGGTTCGAATGTGGGAGCTTGTAAATAAATCGCAGAAATAGCACAATCTATTTAATACTGGAGACTCCGCGACTAAATGGGATGGCATAGCGCAACTCACTCACGCTCGTCACTGAACACAAGGAATCGTCTAGAGTGATAATTTATTCAACAATTTCCGCGCAGTGCGACGCACGTCGTGGTTTACTGAGCGCACGCCGGCCGCCACCTCCAGACACCGGCGGAGTAGTAGCGGCTGGGGTGTCGGACGCGCTGCCACCTCGGCCGTCAACCGGGCGATCTGGGCCTCGAAGCCCAGAATCTGGGCCCGAGCTTCCTCGGCCTGGGTCTCGGCCGAACTAATAGCAGCCTCCGCACTCGTGATCTGGCGACATAGCGCCGCTTCTTGGCTATCGACTCGGGCCTCTAGTGAGGCGATGCGCTCCAGGAGCCGCTCGGTCTCGGCCCGAGCCCGGGACTCCTGGGCACACCGGGCCGCCTCCGCGTCGGCAGCGGCACGGCGAGCCGCTGCAGCCTGCTCCTCGGCCCTCTTCGCCCGTCGCCGCTCCTCCGAGGCGGTTGCCTCAGAGGACCGGAGTTGGGCCCCCAGGTGCTCGACCAGTCCGGCCAGCCGCGCTCGGTCCTCGCTGGGGAGGTCTTGGAAGGGCGGCGGCAGCAATAATGCTGCCCGCACCACTTCCATTGCGGTTCGCCCATTCTGCCTCGTAACCCAGCGGACGTACTCCGGGCCGTGGTCCCGGAGTACCGTAGCGCAGATGTTCACCACCCTGTAAGCGGACAGGCCGGGGTACGGGAGGGATTAGAATAGAACACTTTAATTGAATCGAATGTGGGGTCAGAATTATGGCGCTAAATTAAAAGGGGTGCGTTGATTGAGATAAGCATTAAATTAGATAAATTACCAAGTGACTCGAACACAACAAGTACGTAAGTGAAGTGAGATAATAGGAAGGAGTAAAAAAAAAAAAAAAAAAAAAAAAAACAAGCAGTGATTATCATGACTCACCTCGATAGAGTACCGTCGCCGGAGTGTCGGTCGGGGTGCACCTGGATCTGAAGGCGCCGAACCCGTCTTGCTAAGATGGCCCGGAATTCTGGGTCCTCCAGGGACCTCAGGTCGACCCCTAGGACGAGCTCCGGTACCCATCGCAGCCGGCCCCGCTCGTCACAAAGGACGGCGATATCCAGCACGGGCGGGGTGGCCGGAGCTTCACCAGTAGGTACTGAATATGCCATCACGAGACGAAATGGCACGGCCCGACTCGCGAGGACCATATAATACGTCCGCCCACGTAAATAATTCTCAGACGGACGAAATTATTGGCGGACGTAACCCGGCGGGCCCGCTATTGGTCCCGAGAAGGCGCCGCGGCCGGCCCCCCCTCAGGGGTACCGACCAATGGACAGCGGACGGGGTCGGACGCCGCCCCAGGCGTCCCTCTGGGTAGCCATCTCAGGCCAGATGAGGGGGCCAATGTGGCGATCACGGCGGGTAAGGTAGGAGGGCTAGCTCTGAGGCGACACACATGATATATTCAACACACACAGGACCTCCCTAGCCTAACCGATACTGGAGCTTCTCCGGTTGACTCCTAAGCGCCCTTGCCAGTGGATTTCCTGGCACTCCATCCTCCCCAAATTATCCCACGGTCCAACAATAGCGATTACACACAACACACACAGGACCTCCCCAGCCTAACCGATACTGGAGCTTCTCCGGTTGACTCCTAAGTGCCCTTGCCAGTGGATTTCCTGGCACTCCATCCTCCCCAAATTATCCCACGGTCCAAACAATGGCGATTACACACAACACACACAGGACCTCCCTAGCCTAACCGATACTGGAGCTTCTCCGGTTGACTCCTAAGTGCCCTTGCCAGTGGATTTCCTGGCACTCCATCCTCCCCAATTATCCCACGGTCCAAACAATAGCGATAACCCACAACACACACAGGACCTCCCTAGCCTAACCGATACTGGAGCTTCTCCGGTTGACTCCTAAGTGCCCTTGCCAGTGGATTTCCTGGCACTCCATCCTCCCCAAATTATCCCACGGTCCAAACAATAGCGATTACACACAACACACACAGGACCTCCCTAGCCTAACCGATACTGGAGCTTCTCCGGTTGACTCCTAAGTGCCCTTGCCAGTGGATTTCCTGGCACTCCATCCTCCCCAAATTATCCCACGGTCCAAACAATAGCGATTACACACAACACACACAGGACCTCCCTAGCCTAACCGATACTGGAGCTTCTCCGGTTGACTCCTAAGTGCCCTTGCCAGTGGATTTCCTGGCACTCCATCCTCCCCAAATTATCCCACGGTCCAACCATAGCGATTATACACAACACACACCGGACCACCCTAGCCTAGCCGATACTGGAGCTCCTCCGGTTGACTCCTAAGTGCCCTTGCCAGCGGATTTCCTGGCACTCCATCCTCCCCAAATTATCCCACGGTCCAAACAGTAGCGATTACACACAATACACACAGGACCTCCCTGACCTAACCGATACTGGAGCTTCTCCGGTTGACTCCTAAGTGCCCTTGCCAGCGGATTTCCTGGCACTCCACTAATCAATCTACCAACGGTCCGCACACAAGCAACACACTAGACCTTGTTGCATACGAAATATATGTAATTTTATTCTACATGGACACTGCAAGGGATGGAACCGGGGAGATAGATGATGCACGTCACGCCCCTGTGCGTGGAGAATCCACCGACGCGGCTACGGGTTAGGAGGGAGATGAGACGCGAGTGAAAGGGCAAAAGACTGTACGCGTAGATAAATAGGATTTTCTTAATGACGCTCAGCTCGAATAGACCCCACTAAATAGTATAGGCCTCGATTGAGTAAGCCCTGGATACGTGCAATAAGTCGCGAAATTAAACGTGAGGATGAAGGCGAGTCGGGCGCAGACCGCCGAGGAGGGTCTCAAGAAATGTTACCCGGTCAGCCTCGGGTCCTGGCTCGGAGGGGACGACGGGCTGTAGTCTGTCTAACCTCTGGCTAGCGGGACACGGGACCAGTGGCCCGATTGTTCCGGCCCAGGGTAGGCCTGGGTGATAATTAAGGTCACGTGGGCCGTCGCCTGGGATGTGTATCGGCGGGTGGGCCGCCGCGAGATGACGGTGTTCCGTCTCGGATTAACAGCCTCGGAGGCTGGGCAGATTTTAGGCTGCCGGGCTGGCCCGGAAGCCCTGAACTATGACTGGAGCGAGATGCGGTCATCAGTATCACGGATGGACCTTAGTTACCCAGCCCGGTTTCAAAAAGATAGGTAGGCCCGCTATCGGTCCCTCAAGTGGTCGGCGCGGGACGTCATTTGAAGAGCGACATAGATAGTTTCGGAGGTGGTTAGGACCCCGGGCGTCTTAGCGAGGGAATCGTATGCCGCCGGAAGAGTAATGCCCCGCGAAGGAACGTATAATGCCGCAAGACGGGGGTGAACATTAGATACCGAGCATTCGAGTCGGGTGATCGCAGTCAGACGGTGCTGGCCACCCGCAGTCAGTCGAGTAGCTCCGGCCATGCTCTGGTCCTTTCGAATAGGTCTGTGACGACAGCTTAACTACCAGCCACGGATAGATAGGGTTTTGGACACCTATGTGCTGGTAGTCGACGATGTGTGTTGAGTGCAGGATGTCCCCGAGTGGACCTGCGTGCGTGGAAGACGCGTGTCGTCTTTGTAGTTAGCCGACGAGAGCTAACCCTTTTTAGGTCGCCGGGTTGGCCCGGAAACCCTGAACTATGGCTGGTGCGAGATGCGGTCATTAGTATCACGGACGGACTTTAGTTACCCAACCCGGCTTTCAAATTTTAGATACGTCCGCCGCGGAAAGCCCGGGCTACTGAGTGCCCTGCGAGCTCTGGCTCCGGAACCGTGGGCTGGAGTGTGTTAGAGATGCTGACTGACCACTGGCAGCAGAAGGTAGGTCCACACGTGAGTGGCAGTAAGACAAGGGCCGCGTACGTTGTTGCAAAGGTTTACCGGCCCATGCTGTAAGTCCATTGTTCGCTCAACAACCTGCGTGCGTGTGTGTTATTTATTTGTGTGTAGGTAGTTCAGCATGGTCTTGGACCCGCTATAAGTCGCGTAATTCAAGGGCGGAGTGCCGAAATCTGTGGTGATTCGTATATTCTATTCGTGTAGCGTGAGCATTATGAAGCGTTTGTTTGATGTACGGAGTATTGTGGTTATGAAGGGATAACGGTTAATAAAATCTAAGGTCAATGACTTAATTACGACTTGCGCACGCCTTAGCACCACCGGGGGAAGTTAGGTAAAGGGGGAGGGATCAGAGATGGTTAACTCTGATAATTTATAAGGTATGGCTGGGCGTATGACAGAAATGAGAGGGGACGGGCAAATGAACGTATGATTGGCATGTATATCCGGTGGGAGATAACCCTCAGCTAGGACGGGTGCTGTTGTTTGAGAGTGGGACCTTTGTTTAGTAGAGTTGGGTTCGTATTTCAATATGATCAAGGATAATGGGTTATTGTTTATCCCTCCTCCCATTCCTTAACCCTGGCCTATGTGTTTCCGATGATTGATCGCCCCGGAGAAAGATAGAGTCAGAG